CTCCTCCAGTCATCAAAGTCCAGTGACAAGACAAAGGTCAAGATGACTGGAGAAAGCAGTTTCAAGGAAGGAGACCTTTGGCAGCAGAAAAGATAGCTGACTATTGCTAGGTTTTCATTTTCTCTTCCTGGCTCCTCTGACAGTAAGTATTTCTCTTTCAATAAAGCTGGCTTAACTTTATTTTCTCTCTAACTCCTGTCTCATACCGTTCTGTCTTTTGGTGCTCTGCCCTTTCTTGTCCTCAGGAAAAAACTAGCTCTGGAGGTCGAGTCTAGCAATGGAGAGGAGCCCCTCATGGAGCCCCATTGGATGGATGACCCACAGCTGCAAACCTCCTGGATCAATGCCACAGGAAGAGTCCCAAGGCACACAGCCTCCTAGAATAGGATACACTCTTCTAGGAATAGGATACATACAATCTGTAATGTCATCAGAGATCAGGAACATTCAGACCAGGAAAACCATTCTGGATTTATTCTCTTGTCTCCACTTATGCAAATGGAATGATTAGATAAAACAGCTATTCCCAGATGGGCTTGTAGGTGAGGCCCACGTATTGTGAGGGCTTGTCCCCCACATATAGTATAGGGGTGCCATTGTGTGGCTCAAAAGGAGGCAGAATAGACATCTCTAACCTTTTCTCCCCACCCTTCACCCTCTTTCAAGGGAAGACTTAATTCCTTCCAGGAGGGGAAGCAGAAAGCTGGGGTTAAAGCTACTCTGCTGTCCTCAAAGAGAAAAGGTACCAGGCTAAGGTATATCTATCTGCTCCCTTAAATATTGTTAGTTTAGAGGATGATATTTTCAGGTTCAACCTAATTTTTTAATCACTATTTCAACACTGGGGGGAACCAAGACCCCAAGCTTTAGATCTGAGGCTTGACTTCTTTCCCTCTTAATACCAGTTCTACAATGAACACACATGGCAATTATCAAAGAAAACCTATTTACCCAAATCATAGCAAAACAGAAATCAGAGAAGGTATTTGTAGGAGAAAAATATACCAGACAATACATCGTGAAAGAGTTCTTCCATTGGAAGCAAGATAATTGAGCTCAACTGAGAGAGAGTCCTGGATCTCCCCCAAGGGGAAGTTCCCTCAATTTCTAGTGTAGCAAGCTGGGGGTAGAGACATGATGGAGACTGCCAGCTTCTCTCATGTCTTCCCAGAGTCTTTTCCTTCAGCACCCAAAATGACTGTAGGACCCAAAGCAATTCAAAGCTTGAAGAAGATCTGAAAAAAATTGAAGCCTACCCTCTCCAATTCGCCCTCCCCTCACAAAGAGTAAAACATTCATCTCCGTCAATAAGGACAGAGTGCCATACCAATGGACTTTGGGACTGGAATTACAAATTCATAACTCTTCTATGCATCTGGCTCTTTGAGAAGGTGGGCACCTAGGGGCCGCTAGGGGTGGTGCAGTAGATAGAGCTCCGGCCCTGGAGTCAGGAGGACCTGAATTCTAATCAGGCCTTAGACACTTGAAACTTACTAGCTGTGTGACCCTGGGCAAGTCATTTAACCCTGATTGCCTAAAAGAAGAAGAAGAAGAAGAGGGTGGGCTCTGATGTGGTTTAGGGGTTCAGAGGTCCTGGGACCCCAAAATCACAATACGTGTATCCTGCCTGAAAGAATTTGACCCAAAACTTCTTTCAGCCAAAGACAAGGTTTGTTAGAACATCCATCATATTGGGCAGACTCTTAAGTAGTCTGAACATTAGTAAGCAGTGACTAGATTATAAGAATCTCAGCAGTGGCTAGATTTTAGGAATCTGAGCCTCTTAATGGAGATAAGGTGGACCTTATATACAGAAAGCCTGTGGGAGGGATCTAGGAGTGGCCAAGTACTTTGGGGTGACAGGAGGAGGGGCCTAAGGAGATCTGGATGGGAGTGGCCAGTAAACTGGGGTGAACAGAAATCCTGGGACCTGGACAATGGAGCCTAGCTAGGATTAATGGCCAGGGCCATTGGGAGGTAAGACACTGGAGGGGAGATTGGGTGTAGTCACAATGAAAGGCCAGTTGACGGGATTATAGCCTCAGGGGAACACCAGAGATTTGGCCATATGGGAAAGTCCAGGGTTTTTCCTTTCTGGGGCCTAGATCCCAACCCCATTAGGCACCAGCTACAGGCTTCTCTAAATGACATCTGGTAGGTGAGATAAGTTTCATTCAGTTAGCAGGGGCTGGAGGCAGCTTGTAAGGACCTCAGTAGATTACCCACCCTACTAATTAAAGAAGCTACTTCTTGTTGTTTACTCATTTCTGTTTGTGTCTGACTCTTTGTGAACCCATTTGGGGTTTTCTTGGCTAAGATACTGGTTTGCCATTGCCTTCTCCAGCTCATTTTACAGATAAGGAAAATGAGGCAAACAGGGTTAAGTGACTTGCCCCAGGTCATGTAGCTAGTAAGTATCTGAGGCTGGATTTGAATTCAGGTGTTTCTGACTCCAAGCCTGGGGCTCTATCCACTGTGCCAACTATCCTCTCTAGGCTTAAATACCCTAAGCAAACCACCAAAGTTAAGCCTTACAGGTTAGCCACCAATTCCTCAGGTGTTGCCCCCAGGGAAGGGGTACTGCCCAAGCCGAGACCTTTGCCCCTTACCCCAAAAAGAATTTGGGTCTCTTTTGTCTAAGGGATTCTCCTTGAATTCTCCCACTTGATCAAGGAGGTCTCAGGCATTCCCCTGAGGCCATAATCCCATCAACTGGCCTTTCATTGTGGCTAGACCCAATCTCCCAATTCTCAGTTACCTTTAACCTAGTTTAGCCCTCCATTGTCTTACCTCCCAATGCCCCAGGCCACTTCCCACCATTAATCCTATCTAGGCTCCTTTCTCCCTTGGCCATCAGGTGCAGTACCTGGTGTTCTATTACCTCACAGTCCTGCAGACTACTTGGCCACTCCTAGTTCCCTCCTGCTGTCTTTCTATATATGAGGTCCACCTTGTCTCCATTAAGGTGCTCAGATTTTTACAATCCAGCCAACAGCTCATAGGTGCTCAGATTCCTTAAGAGTCTGGCTAATATGGCGGATCTTTAATAAACTTTGTCTTTGGCTGAAAGAAGGCTTGGGTCGGGGCAGGACCCGCATGTCATGATTTTGGGGTCCCATCACCCCTAAACCTCTAGACCTCATCACCAGCATAAATCAGCACCAGTTCCCAAAACTAGAACCGAACACCAGATCCAGGCTCCCTACTCCTTTCTCACTCCCCCGTGCTTGGCCTTGCTGGATTCAGATGAGAACATTGTAAAAACCCATTGGACTTTACCAGTTTCAGTGCCTCCTTCTGCTGGGGATCCTAGAGGGATAAAACCTGTTTTTATTCTCTCTTACCGGCCCCTCTGATTGTAAGTATTTCCCTTCAACAAAGCAGACTAACTTTATTTTCTCTCTACGGTCCTGTCTCATACTGTGTTCTGTCTTTTGGTGCTCTGCCCTTCCTTGTATTGTTCCTTAGAATACTGAACCCCATGCAACATCCATTAAGACACTCACCCAGCAGAACAGCACAAAGACTCCACAAGAAGAGAAAGCATATTGGGGTCCAGCACTACCGGAGGCATGGGATGCCTTGGCCATATTTTGTGGTTACTATTGTTACTATTCTATCATAGTGAATGTCTCTGCTTTGAAATACCTGTGCCTGCCTACTGGTGAGCTATTAATGGTAAGCCCAGTGGTGGGTGATGGGGTGTGGCCCAAGCTGAGGTCTTGCCCCTAGTCCCAAAGAGGATCCTTATCCCCTTATCTCCTTTTGAAAGCCTTAGCCCTACCTTTTTGATTTCATTATCTATTCCCATTGTCTACTCAATCTCTCAGACTTTCCAGTCAGAATTCTCATCCACACCCTTTACCCAGAGTCATTTTAGTGTATGAGATCTCCCCTGGCCCTCATCAAGGGTGGAGAATCTCAAGCCCAAACAGCTGAGACCTTCTCATGCCTGCTCGCCCTTACAGGCGTCACCTGGCCTATGTGTTTTATCACTAACAAACTTCTCCTCTGGCTGGAAGATTTGAGTTGAATTCTTTCAGCCAGGGCTCGGTACCGTGATCTAGAGGTTCCCAGCGCCCCAAAACCTCTAGATCTCTTCACTGGGGACTCGTGGGCTATAGTTTTAGGAGTACCTACTTTTCCTATTGATGCTATGTATATTTACGAGCAAGTGCAACCAAGGTTCATTGTGGGAATGTGGTTTGGTTTTGGGGGTTTTTTTACTACTATACATAGTAGGCTATTTCAGAGGCAAATGCGTATCACAATGGATAGAACGCTAGGCCTGGAGTAAGGAAGACCTGAGTTTAAATCCATCCTCAGACACTAGCTGTGTGACTCTGGGTAAGTCACTTAACTTCTATCTGCCATTTTTCCTCAACTGTACTGTGGGGACAATAATAACACCTACCTCCCAGGGTTGTTGTGAGGATCAAATGAGATAAGATTTGTGAAGTGCTTAGCATAGTGCCTGGCACATAGTAAGCAACTGATTAATGCTATTTTCTTCTTTCCCTTTCATTTCAGTAAACATCTTTAGTTTGAGATAATCATATCTATTGGCTGAATATTAAAGATAAATAAACTAATGGGAGCTCGTGAACTACAGAATGCGGAGAACCTTGAGCAAGTCAGTTAACGCTGTTTTTTTTTGCCTCAGTTTCTTTATCTGTAAAATGAGCTGATGAAGGAAATAGCAAACCAGTCCTGTATTCAGTCAGACACAATTGAAATGACTGAACAAGGACAATGGCAAAGCCCATATGCGCATGTACAGGACTGAAGGATTTAAGACGTGGAGTATTGACTTCCTGTTCACACATATTGGAAGGGGAGGCATTGGAATAGCTTGAGGTCAGAGCATCACTAGGAGGTTTACACATTGCTGCAATCTGAGTCAACTATTCTGGCCTGACCTCTCCTCCCCCTCACAAGACACATGAAGCATTGGCTGCCCTTCTCCATAAAACTGTGGTCCTGTGGAAGGGATGACTCCCACATTTACAAAAATGTCATAGATTCAGAGCTGGAAGGGATCTAAGAGGTCACCTATTCCAACCCCTTCCCGTTGCAAATGAAGAGTGGATGAAGTGATTTGCCCAAAGTCACACAGATTTCATACAGAAGAATCAGCATGCAAATCCAAGTCCTCTGACTCCGCATTCAGTGCTGTCTCCATGTCACAAGGAATTGGCCACGCTAAGGAGCTGAGAAAGCAAGGCTTGGGAAGAGTTCAAGCAACACAGCTAAACCTAAACCCTAAATCCAGTGCTCTGTGTACTACATCAAAATGTCTTATTCCTCTCCTGCAGCAGTGTCAAGCTCAAATGGAACCAGGTTGGGGTAAGGTACTAATCTGTACATCAAAATCCTCTGGGGCTTCACGTTGTTATTATTGTTCAGTCATGCCTGACTCTTCATGATTCCATTTGGGGTTTTCTTAGCAAAGATACTGGAGTGGTTTGCCGTTTCCTTCTCCAGCTCATTTTACAGATAAGGAAACTGAGGCAAACAGGGTTAAATGAATTTCCCAGGGTCACACAGCTAGTAAGTGTCTGAGATTGGATTTGAATTCATGAAAATGAGTCTTTCTGACTCCAGGCCCAGGACTCTCACTGTGCCATCTAGCTGCCCATAATGGGGGAGACTACATGAAGATAAATAGGTAAATGAAAGATACATCCCAAGTAGATGGAATATAATCTGAGAAGAAAACTCTAGCAGATGATGAGATGGAGAAGGCCTCCTACAGAAGGTGAGATGAGTTGAATCTTGAAAGAAGCTAGACAAAGTAAGAGTTAGAGAGGAGGGAGGAAAGCATTCTAGACACAGGGATTAAGCAGTGCAAAGGCAAGACGATGGGAGATAGAGAGACAGCAAACAGTCCAGTGTGGCTGGAGTGCAGGGAATACAGTGTAAGGAGACTGGACAGGTTATGAAGAGTTTTAAATGCAAAACCAAAACTTTGTATTTAATTCAATGGCTCCCTACAGCTTCCAGGATCAAAGACAAAATGCTAAGTCTGACATTCAAAACCTTTCATAACATTTCCCCCTCCTAATAATGGGATAATGGGACCTGGACCCCTAAAAGAAAAAGACCATGTCTTTGAAAGCAACCCAGTCCCTGAATTTTCCCACACATTTCAGCAGCTCAGATCACTAGTGTCTCATCCAAAGCATTTGGCTCACCCCAGCCCACCTTGCCACTTTAACTGGAAGACCATTTGAGTGCTTGAATTCTTTCCAGATGGACTCTGCTGTACCCTGACACCTCAAGGTTTCCAGCAACCCCAAACCACATCATATTTTGGTGAACATGTTATGAGGAATTGCCTGACCTCCTCAAGCCCTCCTCCAGTCAAGACCGGAAGGTAAGGAAGCCTCCTCTCTCTACCTCTTTTTCACTCTGCAGTTAGGGGACACTCTCCAAGCACTTAGGAAGGCCTGAAGGTGCTTTCCGAGCCTGATCCTCTCAGGCTCCATTTGGGTTGAGTGGTCCAAATCTGTGGACTCAGGCACACCTTCCACCACATAGGGGATGCTCTCTCTGGAAGCGTATGCTCAATTCTCTCAAATCTTTAGGATGCTAGGGAATTGAGAAACTGCAGGTTCTTTTGGTTTCCTGAGGCTTACTCCCTCTATACCCCGGGGTCCTCCTTCATGGAGGGACTCATCAGCCCCCACACCTGTACCTACCAGATCCCCCCTTCTCTTCTGGCCTCATGGGATCCTTTTGCCTCAGTCTCCCCACTGTGTTCCTTTGAAAAGCAAAGTTATCCACCTGGCTATTCCTGAGTCTGGCTATGAGGTGTAATTGATACTGGGTTGTGTGTGTGATAATCTTGTCCGTGCTTTGTCTTTTGTGCTTTTATAGCAAAGTTCTATAATCAGAGCAAACGATCAGTAAAAGATTTGAGCACAATCAAAGGATGTATCTTGCTGTTTTGATTCGACTGTGTAGTCATTCCATATCCCAAACAATTGGCTAAATTGGTACTTGGGCTTGTCATCTGCCTGCTGGCATAGTTATCTGAATTATTATCCCATAGACCAAAGCTAGGATAATAAAATGTGTTCCAGATCTGAGCTATTCAGCCGAAAATTATATTCCTTTCTATAACTAAATAACTTAGTAATTGGGTATTGCTATTAATTACTGAAATTAAATCAGAAATATCTTCAGTTTGGTTTGGAGAAGAGAATTGCAGTGCAATCAATTTTCTTAGAGGGAGGTAACTTATAGAAAAAAGAGTATTTGGCCTAGTCATTACTTAAGGATTCTTCCAAGTCTTTTGTTATAATTGGAGTGAAAATCAGTCTCTTATAAGCAAATTCATTTGTGTAACTATTGAACCCAGAGGTGGAAAACTTCTACCTGCAAAAGTGTAGTTAATTCCAGCAGCATCAGATCCTCCTAAAGGAACTGGAATCACAGTGAAAACTTTTCAGACAGTAACAAGATGAGATAACCCTGTTAAGTCACACGTAAATGATACTGACAGGGTTTTTTCTTTCTTTCCTTCTTTCTTTCTTTCTTTCTTTCTTTCTTTCTTTCTTTCTTTCTTTCTGTCTTTCTGTCTTTCTGTCTTTCTTTCTTTCTATCTTTCTTTCTTTCTTTCTTTCTTTCTTTCTTTCTTTCTGTCTGTCTGTCTTTCTTTCTTTCTTTCTTTCTTTCCTTCTTTCTTTCTTTCTTTCTTTTCCCCCATTCTGACATCACTTTTAATTCTCTCTGTATGTGGGCCCTACATATTGAACTTGGTTGTCAGATTTTTGTCTTCCAGACTATGGGCCATTCATTGGCAGCAAATGGTGGGTACTAGCCCATGTCCACCTATTGTCCCCTGGATGCAGCCTATGCTCAATTCTAGTCAACCTCCTCCCTAAAACCCTCTCAAGGCAGGGACAGCTCTCCATCCCTTGCCAGCAGGAAGCACTTCCAGAAGCCAAGACCGTCGCCCCTTACCCCAAAATATTTTGTGTCCTATTTGTTTGAGAGGGGAATGATGGGGTGATGGGACCTGGATTCTTAGAAGGAAAAGACCATGTCTTTGAAAGCAGCCCAGTCCCTGAATTTTCCCACACTTTTCAGGAGCCCAGATCACAGGCTTCTGGCCCACCCTAGCCTACCTAGATACTTGACAATCCTTTCACAAGTAGCTCTTGGCCCACCCCAGGACTACTTTATTTCTTTCAGTATTTCACTTGGACCACCCCAGACTATTTACCTTAATTTAATTAATCCCATCTAGATCTTTTCACTGTCCCTTTTTTGAATATATATGTGTGTGTGTGTGTGTGTGTGTGTCTATGTGTGTATGTATGTATGTATGTATCTATGTATCAGTCTCTCTTCCATTAAGGTGTGGATTCACTAGGAATCTTACTACTGTTGGCATCACAATAAACTGCCCCTTGACTGAAAGAAGGTTTGAATGTGTGAATTCATTCCAGGGAGACCAGTCCTGCACCCTGACATTTTTGGGTTCCCAGCAATCCCAAATTGCATCACTACCTTTCAGTCTTGTCCCACTGACACAATACATACTCTTCAATCTGACAATACTGGCCCTGAGTGCTCTACAAAAGACACTCCAGGGGCAGCTAGGTGGCACAGTGGATAGAGCACGGGTCCTGGATTCAGGAGGACCTGAGTTCAAATCCAACCTCAGACACAAAACACTTAATAGCTGTGTGACCCTGGGCAAGTCACTTAAACCCCATTGCCTAGCCCCCCCCAAAAAAGACACTCCATCTCTCTTTTCTGGCCTTTTTCTTTGGCTGTCCCCCATCCCTGGAAGGTTCTGCTTCCTTAACTCCACCTATTGACTTCCCTGGCTTCCTTTAAGTCCCAAAAAAAATCCCACCTTCTCTGGGAAACTTTAGCACGATTTTAAGTTTTAATAAGCTTACAAAAATTATATTTAATTAGTTATCAAAATATATATATTTTTGAAGTTCAGGATCCAAGTTTTAAGAACCCTAGCTCTATCCCATGATGTCTGTGTCTGTGCTGATTCAGCACTAACCCTTTCCAGATATCACATTCTACTTTCAAACATACCTATCATCTGCTTCCTGGGTGGGTGGGTGGGAATAAGGTCCAAGGAAGGGCCCATCCATGTTCTCTCCCCTCCTCAAATGGAAATCCCCATCCTTTTAAAAAAATAATTTAATTAGTATGTTTTGTTTTCACACCATCTACCTCTTATACTCTTTATAACAGAATAAAAAAAAAGGAAGAAAACACATCAGCACTGCCTGCCCTAGCACATATCTGGATCAAAAGCAACACAATTATAGAGATCCAGCAGGACTCAGAATGAAGACTGAAGAGGGCCCCCCCCCCAACTAACCCTTCATGGAGGTGGGAGCTCTGCATATTTTCTGACTTTTACAATATATGGATCAGTTGTGTGGTTTTTTTCCTCTTAAAAAATACTGTTTGTTATAGGGAATAGCTCTCTGGCTGGAAGAAGGATACTTTGGGCAACTATGATAATGTAAAAAACCAGAGATGTCAATAAAAACTTGTTTTCAATCAATATTTTATTAAACACCTAGTAGGTGCCAATCAATCAATAAATATTTATTAAGCAACTCTTAAGTGCCAGTCACTGTGCTAAGCAACAGGGATACACAAAAAGGCAAAAGACAGTCTGCCCTCAAGGAGCTTGCAGTCTATTTCTCTAGAAAAGTCTGACGTTCTACGTAGAGAGTCGCGGCCACTGTCAGTCCCCGGCCCCTGCCCGGAACCGCCCCCCGCCCCCATTTCCCTCTAGCGGGTAGAACGCTCCGAGCCGCAGCTCGGGGCCTCGAGAGAAACTACATTTCCCAGCAGAGCCCGGGGCCGCGATAAGACTCTCGGGAAGTCGGAAGTAGTAGAGTGAGGTCTAAGGGCGGAGGGGCCGGGCCGAGCCGGAAAAGTTGTGCGCGCGAGCCTGCGGGAGCCTGCCTGTGCCGGCCCTGCCGTCCTCGTGCGTCCCGGGCCCGGCGTCCCCGCTGCTGTCCAGCCTCGGCAGACATGACTGAAGCCCAGAAGCGGCGGGAGCTGCTCCCGCTCATCCACCACCATCTGGTGCAGGCTGGCTACGTGAGGGCGGCGCGGGAGGTGAAGCTGCAGAGCGCCCAGGTGAGGGAGGGAGAAGGGAAGGGAGGGGGCGGGGAAGAGACCCCCGTCCGGTGCTGACCCCCGCCGTGCCCAGCGGCGCTCCCAGGAGAGGCTTGTGAGAAGGTGGGAGCTCGAGCGCGTTGTCCTGCAGGCCGACCCAGGGTTTGCCTGTCACACGCGTGTATCCCCCCGAACCGTGATGCCCTCCTATGCCTTGCAGTCCTCTTTGCTCGGTTCCTCCCGCATGACTTGCGGCCTCAGCCCTTGGAGAAATACTTGATAGCATGTTTTCAAATACGGTGGGATGACTCGCTAAGCAGAAGGTGCCAGAGGGACGTCCTGGAAGCAGACAGGTGGATGGCCTGGGTGAGGAGGAAGGGGAAAGTCCTCCTGAAGAATTGGCTGGGGATTGCAGCTTGCCCAACATGTATGGGATAAGCCCCGATCTGAGCCCTTGCATCACAGCAGCTGATAGTGGGGTCCGCACCCTGGGTGTGCATGGGGGAAGACAGGAAGCTTGTGTCCACTTGAGATGGCAGCAGGCGTTGGCTATGTTTCTGGAGCCGACACGTGTTGCTAGATCACTCCAGGTCTTGGGAGGGGAGACCTTGAACGTTGTCTCTTCCTACGGAGCTCTCTGGCTCACTTTGCTAGGACGGCAGGTCTCTGGGTGGCTGTAGTTCTTCCTTTCAGGAGGCCTAAGTTAGGACATCCTTGTAGCATTACCCACTGAGAGGCATCGTGGCAAAGTGAATAATGCCATGCACTGGGAGCCAGAAACACCTGGGTTCAAATCAAATCACTGTTTCCTACTTACTGTCTGACCATGGGTAAGTTGCTTAACTTTTTTGAATATCAGTTTCCTCACCTGTAAAATGGAAGGGATTAGATTAGATTACCTTCTAGGGCTCTCCTAGTCAGAATCTATGACAAAGAGACTGTGTTCCGAACTCCCTTCTATTTCTGAAAGCAGAAAAGTGTTGCAAGGGAAGGATTTTCTCTGGTGAGGTTGTTTCCAAAATATGCATTGCAGTGATCTTGGGTTTTATCCCATGGAGTCCTGGGATTTAGTTCTAGTCTGGGGTAAATTGCTTGAAAGTGTGATCTTGATGAGACTTCCTCTCTTGGGCTGTCACCTCATACCATAAAAGGAAGGTTTAGACTGAAAGGCTTCTGTAGTTAACCAAGGGCCCCTTTCCTTTGTGCTTCCTCATTCCCCCTCTGCAGGTTTCTAAGACTGTGGAATCATATTCTTTCTGGTTGTCTTAGCCGGAAATGACATTGGTAGAGACTTCCTAGTCTAATCCTAGAGAGTAGAGAACTGAGTTCCAGACAAAGATGTGGAACGGAGAACCAGATCTTTTCACAAAGTACTTTACAGGCACTGTCTTATTTGATCTTTGAAACCCCGTGAGGTGGGTATTACAGGTATTAGTTCCATTTCACAGATGGGGAAATCAAGGTTCATAGAAGTTGTGATATGCCCCATGATCCCCCAAGCTGTCAAGACATGGGACTGTGCCCAGTTCTTCCTGACCCTTATGTCCATTATGCTACCTACCACTCCATGCTGTCCGGATCCCTTATTAGTAGTGGACTTCATCCTGAATTTCATTCCTTGGTGACAACTTTCCAGTTAGGCGCGCCCCCCCCCCCACCCCTTTCCCTTTCTGCCCATTTCCTTAGGGCTTCTCCTCCCTCACTGCCCCCAGTTACTTTGTATTTACTCTACCTATTCTGCACTTACTTTTGTATATATTGTATCCCACCAAAAAAAAAAAGTAAACTCCTTGAGGGGAAGGACAGTTTCCTCTCTCTCTCTCTCTCTCTCTCTCTCTCTCTCTCTCTCTCTCTCTCTCTCTCTCTCCTCTCTCTCTCTCTCTTTCTCTCTCCCCCTCTCCCTCCCTCTGTCTCTGTCTCTCTCTCTCCCTCTCTCTCTCTCCGTCTCTCTCTCCCTCTCTCTCTCTCTCTCCGTCTCTCTCTCTCTCTCTCCCCCTCTCCTCCGTCTCTCTCTCTCTCTCTCTCTCTCTCTCTCTCTCTCTCTCTCTCTCTCTCTCTCTCTCTCTCTCTCTCTCTCTCCCTCTCTCCCTCTCTCCCTCTCTCCCTCCCTCTCTCTCTGTCTCTCTCTCTCTCTCTCTGTCTCTCTCTCTCCCCCTCCCTGTCTCTCTCTCTCTCTCTCTCTCTCTCTCTCTCTCTGTCTCTCTCTCTCTGTCTCTTCATATCCCTTGGGCCTAGGGAAGTACATGGTACATGATACAACCCTCTTTTTTCTTTCTTTAAATGCCCATGTACCTCCTGTTCCTTCACTGCTTACTTGCACTACTGCTCTGTTTGAATGGGATGCCAGTTCCCTAGGCCTCAGATACCCTAAACTCTCTTCTTTTTCTCCTCTTTAACTGTCGAATTCTTACTCAGCTGCTCATCATCCCTCCTATTCAGTAAACTCCAGGGGCTCCCTATGACGTCCAGGATCAAATATCAATTCCTCTGATTGCTGTTTGAAGCCCTTCATGACTGGCCCTCTCTGACCTTTACAGTCTTCTTATATCTTAGTCTACACTGCAACCCAGGGACATAGGTCTCCTTCCCATTCTTCACACAAGACATTCCTTCTCCCAGTTAGTTGCATTTTCCTTAGCTGTTGCCTGTGCCTGGAATGCTCCACCTCTTTCTTGCTACCTCCTGACTTTTCTGGGTTACTTCATGCCTCAGCTAAAATCTTGCTTCCAGTGCCCCGTAATGTGAGCACTCCCCACCAGTGGATTGCCTCCAGTTTGTCCTGTAGAGAACTTGTTCGTGCATAGTTGTTTGCCTGTTGCACCCCCTCTTTCCCCATTAGATTCAGTGCGTGGATTGTTGTTACTTTTTTTCCTGTCTTCATCCCTTAGCATATAGTGGGCACTTCATACATTATCCTTGTTATTGTTACCCATTCTTAAAGCCCAATTCTTTACAAAAGAATCAGATTTGTTATTTATTTTTAACATTCTTTTCTTTTTAAATTTCAGGTTCCAAATTCTCTCCCTCCCTCCGACCCCCTTCCTGCCTACTGAGAAGGCAAGCAAAAGATGTCAGTTACAATTGTGAAATCATGCAACCCATATTAGCCATGTCGCCAAAAAAAAAGCGAGAAAATTCTACTTCAGTTTGCATTCAGAGTTCATCACTTCTCTCTCCGGAGGTGGATAGCATTTTTTCATCATGAGTCCTTTGGAATTGTCTTGGATCTTTGTATGGGTCAGAGTAGCCAGGTCTTTCACAGTTGATCATGATTACAACGTTGCTGTTACTGTGCACAATGATCTCCTGGTTCTTCTTGATTCGCTTTGTATCAGTTCATATAGATCTTGCCGTGTTTTTCAGAAGCCATCCAGTTGTCATTTTTTTTTTTTTGGCAGTTGGGGTTAGGTGACTTGCCCGGGGTCACGCAGCTAGTAAGTGTCAAGTGTTTGGTCTAAGGCCTGATTTGAACTCAGGTCCTCCTGACTTCAGGGCTGGTGCTCTATCCACTGCGCCACCTAGCTGCACTCCCGTTGTCATTTCATATAGCACAATAGTACTCCATCACAATCATGTGCCACAGCTTGTTCAGCCATTCCCCAATTGATGAATATCCTTTTGATTTCTAATTTTTTGCCACCGCAAAAAGGGCTGCTATAAATAGTTTTCTACAGATAAGTCCTTTTCCTTTGATCTCTTTGGGGTACAGATATAGTAATGGTTTTGCTGGGTCGAAGGGTATGCACAGTTTTATAGACCTTTGGGCATAGTTCCAAATTGTTCTCTAGAATGATTGGACCAGTTCACAACTCCACCAACTTTATTAGTGTACCTATTTTCCCTTCCAGTGTTTGTCATTTCTGATAGGTGTGAGGTAGTACTTTAGAATTGTTCTTATTTCCATTTCTCTCATCAATAATGACTTGGAGCATTTTTTATATGACTATAGCTGTGATTTCTTCTTGTGAAAACTATGTGTTCATATCCTTTGACATTTGTCTTGGGGGATGGCTCTTATTTTTATAAATTTAACTCAGTTTCCTATGTGTTTGAGAAATGAGGCCTTTGTCAGAGAAACTTGCTGTAAAATTTTTTGATATTACTTCATAATCTTTAGTAAATAGTTTCTCTGATTATCTCTTTTAATTAGGTCTATTTTTGCTTTTGCTTTGTCTGAGATCATGATTGCTACCCCTGCCTCTTTGACTTCAGCTAAAGCATAATAAATTCTTCCCCAGTCCTTTATTTTGATTCTGTGTGTTTTTCACTTTCAAATGTGTCTCTTATAAACAACATATTGTTGAATTCTGATTTCTAATCCTTTCTGCTATCTACCTGTTTGTGGTAGCATAGTGGATTGAGCAGTGGGCTTGGAATCAAGAAGATTCATATTGCTAAGTTCAAATCTGGCCTCAGACACTATCTGTGTGACACTGAGCAAGTCACTTAACCATGTTTGCCTTAGTTTCCTCATCTGTAAAATGAGCTGGAGAAGGAAATTGCAAACCCACTCCATTATCTTTGCCAAGAAAACCTCAAATGACTGAACTACACAACAAACATTCCATCCTTATTCAATTGTGATTGCTGACTATATTTCCCTCCATTCTGTTTTCTTCTGTTTATCCTGTACATCCTCCAAATTCTGTTTTCCTTCTGATCACTGCCTCCCTTAATCTGCCCTCTCTTTTTTTTAGTAATTTATTTTTAGTTTTCAACAATCTCTTCCATACGCTTCTGGATTTTCAATTTTTCTCCCCTTTCCTGCCTCCCTCCCCAAGATGGTGTGCAATCTGATATTGGTACTACATATACATTCCTATTAAACATATTTTCACATCAGTCATGTTGTAAGGAAGAATTAGAACCAATAGGAGGAACCACCAGAAAGAGGAAACAAAACAAAAGGAAAAAAAAGAGCAAATAGTATGTTTGCCCTCTCTTTTATCATCACTTCACCCCACCATCTCACTTATCCCCTTACTCTCCTATTTCCCCATTGAGTAAGAGATTTCTATACC